GTTCGTCGAATTGTTCGGTATTATTTTTTCTTTCTCACCGAATTAATCGATACGATAAAACTATCTCCACTGAATACGTTCTTTACGCTTCGTTCAGTTTGTTTATAGTAAAAAATGCAATCTCGAAGCACAGATATCGATAAAATATTTACCTGCAAAGTACGAAGTAAAAACCGGAGATCGTGTTAGAAGCAAGTTACTTTTCCTTTCTGTGTATTTTACTCGGGCACGCTAGTAATTTAAAGTGTAAGTCGATCTTGGGACGACCTCATTGAAGACACTTGACATTGTTATTAAATCACGTCAATGTAATCAGCCGACTTCCCGTGTCTAGTTACGCTTTCCCCGAGATATGTATTTTTCAAACAGATTTCCTTTCCTTTCCGCCGAACTATTTCCAGAAATACTCGTGCCCGCGACGAAAACAGAAGGAAAGGATGGTGATTTTTCATCGCAATAGAATTGGCGATGAAAATATGCACAATGGAACAACATATAAATATAGTGAAACAATCATAAGGCGTGGTGGGGAGAGCAATCTGTTGAATCTTATGAAACAGTTTCTTCGTACTAAATTAAGGATCGTTTAATGGACGAATTTGAACAGCAGCGAGAATAATATTCCACGTGTATATTTTATTTTTAAATATTTACCTGTACACGTATATATCATGCACGTATTTCTATACGTACACAGAGAAACGAGAGTCATGTGAAAGGATATATACGAAGAAGTGTTTGAGGAGAAAACAGGGAAAGAAGCTGAGAAAGGAAAAGAGAAGGAGAATAGGATGAAACGAAGCGACATAGCTAACCTGCCGAACGCTCACGAAAACAACCGAGCACCGAGTTCGGCTGTATGTCGCGCGTAGTCTGTGTACATGTGGCAATCAAGCCACACGGTACACACGTTTGTGGTTCTCCTTTTTTTCTTTCTTATTTGGCGTATAGTGAAATTAATCGGCCACAGTTTCATTACAACGATGGAAAAGTTGACGGTATCGTCATCGTATCACGCCTAGTATCGTTCGAATCACTCGTCGTCGTCATTCTCAACGGGGTGGTATTTTCAAGGCTGTCTCGTAATTCTGTGCTTCGAGATATCATGAACAGAGACAGAGAGACGTAGAGGAATAACGAATCAAGAAAAGAAACAGAATTCTCCACGTGAACTTGTCACACCCGTACTCTCGAACGAGCGGAAAGAAAAATTTTCAAATTTCACGTCTCGCGTGTTCGTTCTCGCCGGCAGAGAAAAAAACCGTTGTGCCACCTGTGCAGTCGAGTAACGAGATTATCATTGACGGGGAACATATGGTTGTTCCTGTACGCGTGTTCATAAGTGTGTCCGCTCGGGTAATAGAACGTGCCTCGCTTGATACGTCGCGTGATGTACGGCATACCGTACGCGAGAACGTGGTGCGGAAAAATCGCTGTTGATGGTTGACGTCCGTTAACGGTCTTTTAAAAAAGAGTATCGCGGATTCGCCGCCACGAGTCGGTCGAACGATACGGCCAGAGTAACAGAAGCAGGCGGCAGTGTGGTATTGCCGGGCCGCCGCCGCCGCCGCCGCCGCGTGGTTATTAACTCGCGCGAAAACATCGTCTTGCACAGTATCATATCGTCTTTGCTGGCTGCGGAGAGGTTATATAATTTCTGTCCGAGCGGTCTTTTCGTTTACGAGGACCGCGTCTGGGTTCTCTTGCGTTACCATTCATTCGCGCGGACGTCACCGTACCGTCGAACCGTATTTCGTGCGCCACATGCGCCCTCGAAATTGAGGTGATAAAAGTTTCCGAGAGAGAGAGAGAGAGAGAGAGAGAGATAGATAGACAGATAGACAGATAGGTAGATAGATAGGGAGAGATAGAGAGACCGTGCTCTGCCCACCGATACCCGCGTATGTCGAGAACGAGAGTGGACAGGATCGCAAGCGGGGAATCACGCCGCTAACATGCGCTCGATCGTCACGGTTTCTTACCATCGCTAACGTAACGGTCATAGGAAAGCTTGGACCAGACGTAGAACGGCGCACAAGGTGAAAATGTCCACGGTGGTCGGTAAGTTG